GTTTTGAGCTGTTTCCCTCTGCCTGGAGCGGGTCCTGGTCTTTCTGTACCCGAATCCCTGCAGATGGGGCTGTGAATGCTTGAAGGAGCCTGGTGTACTGGGAATTGCATGCATTTAACCACAGGCAAAGCCAGCTCAGCTGTCCTTGCCTCCTCCTTCCCTAGGCAAGGAGCAGGTCTTTGCACAGCCCAGTAACCACACGCATTAATGTCTTGGGCCGTGTTTTAAACCTGCGAGGTCAGTTTATGGCCTTTTCCCAGTGCTTCCTGGTTCGCTGATCTGTCACGTTGCTGCAGGTTCACTCTCTGCTCCTCTCCTGTGCCCAAGCGAACTCGTTTGCCTGCAGTGACGGAGCACCCTGGCTAATTGGTGGAAAATGGGAAAGCCACATAGAGCTGAGCAGCTCTCTGCAGGTGGTGGGGTAGATGTGACCTAGTTGTCGGTGGAATCAGCCTGCTTGCTTGGAGACTCGTGAGCTGTTTTGACAGCTGGAGTGAGCTGACCTCTGCCGAGGTATCTGGGAGGAAGTAAACCCAGTGAAGCTGAGGATCTTCCCTGGCTGTGCTTTCAGGAGGGGTCTGGCCTCCCGCTGCCGTGCGAGGGTGAAGTGAGCTGTCTGGAGAACGAAGGTTGGCGTACTGGAGAAGGGCACGCATAGAAGGGGCAGGAGGAAGTTCTGTCTTTTCCATTTGGCCATCGTGATATTCCCCTGGGAGGTTTTTTTGCTTCCACAGCTGGATTTTTGTGTGACTATGTCACCATTTCTCCCCGATGTAGTCTCCGAATCACGAGCCTGGCTCTTGGTAAAGGCCCAAAACTGCAGGCACCTCGTGGCGCGCGTTTCCGAACGGCTGCTTTCTGCAGCAGTGAAGGCTGGGGATGGAGAAGTGGTGAGGGAGGCAGGCAGCCTTTGGCCTGAGCTGAATGTGGAGACAGGAGCCTTGGGTGAAATCCTGTGCTCGATCTGGTGAGCTGCCCATCCCCTGAGTGTGTGGTGAAGCCATAAGCTGTGGCTGCCCTGTGCGCTACCTGAGCTGTTGTGAACCTTCCTGCTCGTTTTCTAGTTACAACAGTGAGAAAATGGACAGCGTCGAAAATGACAGCATGAGAAAACGGACTGCAGCTCTGGGGCTGGGTGTTGCTGGCAGCAAGGCCTTTTTACCTGCTATGCTGGGATTTTTTTCATCATATGACACAGACCTTTTTCTTCTGCTTCTCTTCTGCTTGAGCAAACAGTGCTGAGTGCAATGTTCTGTTTTCTTTGCTGTGGATTAATGGATCTCTCTTACTCAAAACCGCCCTTTGGGGAGGCAGATTGAGCTTTTGAGGCCTCTTCTCTGCCACAGGCAGTGGTGACAGCAGCTTTGCTGTCCCTGATCCTCAAGGGAGTCTCCACACTCTTTTTCCCTCTTGTGTCTCCTTGGCCGTCTCTGTTATGGCAGGTGCAGGAAGCAATGTCTGGTGGCTTGGGCAGCATTTGGTGAGGGCAAAGGGCCAGTCAGTAGTGGTGCTCCATCAGCCAGTGCTTGCCTGCTGTGCAAAGGCTTATTATAAAGCAAAAAAGGGTTTTATTTTTGTCTGAAAGTCATCGAGCGTATTCAGGCAGCTGTGTGAGCTTATTTTTCTCCTCTGCTCCACGAAATGATGTAATTATGGCCAGCAAAGTTTTGTGCTTCCCCAAAGCTGGGCAAACTCTGCTACATTACTTTTTAGGATGCCAAGGGCAGCACTGTATAAAACAGAGCTGGTATGCAGCTAGGTTCATAAGGAATTTCTATTTGCTTGACTTGTTAAAGTGCTCCAAGGGATCTCAGGTCTTTGTTTGTACTCCCTGATTCCTGAGAACAAGTTGGTGTTTGTGCTGGTGGGTTTCCAAGTCTTCTGGTGTAAGGGCACAACACAAGAGAAAGCACCTGCCGTGACTTCTCTCAGATCATGTAAATCAGTGCTAAGAAATGCTCATGACAGCAATTTATTACAGAACTGGATTTCAAGTCTTGCCGCACCAGAGAGATGCGCTGCATGGTTCCCTGTGTTTGGATGTGTGGTGGGAAATGCAATGAAAGGAACAATTACAGAGAGATGCTGAGCAGCCAAGTACAGGTTCTGGCTGTATTAGAGGTTTCCTATGAAATGTGCTTAGCACTCTAAGTATTTGTGTCCTCTACAGGTAGCACCAAATTCAGACTTACAGCTCAGCCATTATCCCTGAACTCGGTAGGGGTCTGCAAGATTTATGGGGTAAACTTAAGGCAGAGAAGGAAAAGAAAAGAAGATATTTCTAGTTCAAATTCTTGCTCTCAGACCTGTATACTTCTTAGCTCATGGATAAAGAAATGCCCTTGCTTCCTATCTTGCTGCGTGCCTGGCTTTGGGTGGCTGTCAGTGTTCGTAAATGCTGTGACGTGAACCCTGCTCCTGCCACAGCAAAGCACCGCCACCGTGCACCTGCCAGAGCCATTTCAGCCCTTTGGGGTGACTCAGAAAGGAAGCTGGGACCTCTTTAAAATGTTCAGGTTTTCCCCATGTTCTTCCTTAGATCTGGGCGTGAATCAGATGTTTAACTTCTGAGGACTGCTGAACACCCCATGGTTCACAGCTGTTTTAACCCTCGCTGTCTCTGCTGCTGCAAAAATGAATCCCAGAATGAGAGTTTTTCTGAGATGATACCATCTGCTGCTTTTCCTTGGAAAGCAGGTAACCTGACTTCAGCTAGAGAAAATGCAAGTTAAACTTACTACTTCAAAAAAGTGGTTGAACCTAGAAAGGGGAAATGAATGCCTCTCTATACCTTATTTTAAAGCATAAAATTAGGCATATATACCAAAACAAATTTAAGGTGCTAAAACTGCAATGGCCTTTTCCACACAAGTCTCTTTAAATATGGTTTCTCTTATTGTTAGAAGAGCAGAATAAGTAACAGCAGCTGTGTAATTTTAAAATTAGGTTGTTAATAAAATCCTGGTACATTTACATACATGACATTAATGTACAATTAACAAAGCATTGTAATATTACAGCAACAAAAGAGGACCTACATATTTGTACAGATAGCTGAAGCAGCTGCTTGAAAATACTTTCCAAGATAAAGCCTTTTGTGGTATTTTTCAGGCAGACCAGTGATAATTTTGAAACACTTCTATGGCTTTTGGATAATAAATAGGGTTATTGAAGCTGGCGATCTTCAAAAGTGGATGCGTACCCAAAGCACGAGCTGGAGCGGGCCCTGACCACCTGGTCTGTCAGCTTATTGAGCCTGGATTAATCATCCTTATCCTTGCATGCAATTTGCCTCTGATGTAAATCACTTAGGAATGAGGTGATGTCAGATTTTGATGGATTCGTTGGTGGGAGATGCTGTAGTTTGTTCCCCTTCATCTGCCTAAACCATGTCTGTGTTGTGCTTTGGAGCTTGGGCTCAGCTGAGCCTCCTCCTTCCAGTGTGTTTCGTTACAATATTAATTGTTCAGTTTGTAAGAAGCAGTAGTTCTCCACTGCAAACCTGCCTTCCTCTTCACCTATAACAAATGAAAGCATCTTAGCAGATGCTTTTGGTGGTGCTAGCAGGGATCAGTGGGGATAGCAGGTGTTTCCCTAAAGCTATTGGTAAGAGCAAGGTCTGCGTTTTCACACAACCAACTGCCTGCCTAGGGTTGGGATTGTTTAAAATTAAAAAAAACCTCAAACTAAACAAACACCACACAAAAACACTGCTTCAGACAAAACTGTAACTGAACTGTTTCCTTTTAGTTCTCCTAAGTTAGCTAGAGGGTGGCCTAGAATGAGTCCTTTTGGACCAGAAACATCTGTGAACAAATGAAAAATGTGAGTTTTGGGCATTCGAGTTGAGGCATCTTGTTAAAGCACTGCTGCCTAAATGCTAGGCTGCAGCCCAGCCCTAGGAACCAGTCAGGTGTGCACCGGGCCCAGTTCCCCCTGAGGTAGTGTCTCTGTGAAAACGTCATTCCCTGGGTGAGGCTGTGAGGCAGAGACTGGAGGGCAGAGCTGCTCACCCCAGCTCACTCCAGAGGGAACAGACCCTCAAGCTGTCTGTTCCTCAGGGTCTTAGGGAGATTTTTATTGCTATTTATGCTATGGGGCAGTTTGCCAGCACAGTGCTAGCTCCTGAGCTAGCTTCTGAGGCTTTTAGAAAGCATCCTTTATGGTGGCAGGTCTGAAACAGGTTTTTAAGGTGAAGGTGACTGGGGCTATCAAACCTTGATAGGGACAGGGTAGACAGTCTTGTGTTTTTCCTCCTCAAAATGGATCCAGATTAACAACTAGCACAGTGCAACCATATTAAAAAAATACAAAAAAGGCAATCTTCCCCTCCATGCCCCAGCTCAGTTCTTCATATTAGGTTTTAAAAAGTGAGTAATTTCAGAGTTAGTATTAGTTTCTACTCAGCTTTGAACATCTACAAAAATTTCTCTCTTTCTCTCGAGGTGCAAACAGTTTTGGGGGAAATTTATGCCAGAGTCTCTCATTATGTATAGACACTGGTGTTTATCACTATAGTGAAGTAGTTTGTGTACACCAGCCAGATGACTCACTGAATGGCAGTGCTCCATAGGATCTGAAAACTCCTTCTACACAACCTTTTTACAAGTAAAACATGTATGTGTATGAAGTAGGTGGCCATTATGGTGTGTAGACAGACACTTAAGACTATGCATTAGGTGTTGGGTCTAGGTAAATGGCCTCACTTCTCTCCAGACCTGCATTGTGCTTGTTTAAAGGGCAGCGTTGTTCTTCTCTTCGGTTCACTTGCATCCTCAGTTCTTGTTTGCGCTGCAGCAGTGTTTCTGTGACAGTAGTAGCACAGAGAAGCCACCTCCCCCTCTGTCCGTGGGACAAGGCGCAGCACCCTTGCTGAGGGGGAATCTGTTGTAGGGGACTTTAGGCAAGATTCGGAAGGCAAAGAAGAAAGCCACAGCTTTGCCTGATGATGCATCCCCATGCGGTTGGAACCAGTGCTCCTGCCACTGCCCTGGTCCTGTTCACACCCTGGAGGTGACGTACACAGAGTGCAGGCGGAGGGCCAGGGCTGTCTGCAAGTCCCGCAGAGGATCCAGGCCTTGCACTTTGCTGTTCCTGCTGTAGATCAGCTGCTTGAATGAGTCCTGCTCTAGAAGAGAGCTCATGTGTTTGAGGAAGAAGCCCTCACAAAAAGAGGCGAGTTCAGGTGCATTGTGAATCTGCAGGAGAAAGGAAGATCAATTAGCCTTCTCTGTATGTCACAGATCTAAAGGACGTGCCTGAGCCTCTTCTCATGTCTGACGCTTTTCCCTTTAATGTTTTCTAAGCCAGAAAAAGAAGGATGGTAACAACAGTGGAAAAGCCCTGAAGGTAGGACCAGTGATGGCTGACGATGTTTTTTGGTGCATTCTGCAGGCCCAGGTGTGAGCAGGGAGACATTGAAGCTGTTTTTAATTCCTCCCCCGATGGCCTGCTGTTGGCAGAGCCACTGGCCTGCACTCCCTTCTCTTCCTCTTAAAGGAGTGGAGCAGCTGGCTGACGAAGTGGTCAAGGTACCTGTTTAGCTCTGCAAGTGGGGAGTTTGTGTGCTGCAACATAAAACACCGCGCTGCCAGATGGCGCGCACAGCTTGTGGCAATAAAAGTACGGTTCATAGGATGTGAGCCTAACTCCTAGAAAAAGGAGCTGAATGGTGGAAAACAGGGATGCTGCACTTCTAAAACGTGTTGAGTGGATTTCTGGCTGTGATCTGGTTCCCTTTGCTTCAGAACCAGTGGGGGAAGCTCAGTAATGGGAGAACAATGAAACTTTAAGTTCAGTATTTTGAAGCACTGTGCACACAAACACATTTCTGGGAACTCCATGCAAATAGCAGTTTAAGGAAAAGTACTAAAGATCAGTAGGGAATGCTCCCTTCCTCCTCTCTGCCACTGCATACTGTTAAATTTTAGGTCCTGAGAGAAACCAGCCCAAGTTCCGTGGAAAAAAGTGGCCCAGTGTGAGAGTCAGGAATCAGAAAGGATCAGCACGACACTATACACAAAGTAAATGTGTGCATTGTTATCAGCTCTTCGTGTTGTTTTTCTGCTTGTCTTTGAGGGATCTGACCCTGTAAATGTCTAGGAATGCAGAGTATTTCTCTGTGATTTTTATTAATAATGAGGGTTATTTTGCTGTAGAGGTGAGTATCTATGTCACACAAGGGAGTTTATGCTAGTTCTGGAGCTGTAAAGGATATATTTTAGCAGTAGCAGTGCTAGGAAAGGGTTTATTTCTTAGCTGCTGTACTATGATCAATTGCCCCTGGTGCTCTGAGGATTCAAATCTCTTAGGCTTTGCTGGACGATGTTGCTGTATCAGCCTGCTAGGACACCTCTACCCTGCTCTGCAGGGATCTCGCATCAATTTCATACACGATTGCTTTAGACAAGAAAATGTACTGGGGCTGTGTAGGACTTTACAGACTGGAACTTGAATACAACATCTCGCTTGTGGTTGTGGTCGGGGTAGAGTTACCAGCATAGCAGGTGCCCGCTCTGCGCCTGTTGTATTTGGTTACCACAATGAGACTGCAGAAAGCATGCATGCTGTTTCATTGTGACTCTTAAAGAAGGCAGTTTGGCACATACCTTTGCATATTTATAGATGTTAACAGAGTTCTCCATGCTGATCGTCTGGGCACAGAGGATTTCACAGTGTCTCTGGAGACCGTCCAGTTGAAACAGGCTGGCAGCTGACAGCAGCTATCAGGGCAAGAGAGGAGCTATTTGAGATCATGAGCCTTGAAAGGCTTTTAGGGAAGGGAAACAGTCAGAACTGGCAATTTCCTCTCTGAATGATCTGTGACTCCCTGTTTTTATGGCCACGTCCTCCTGGAAGAGCAGAAAGGCCACTCGATGCCTAGCTAAAGCAACAGACAGATTTCCCCTATTAGCAAAGGCTTGCTCCTCTTGCAGAAAGTACATTTTTGCTACCTTCTGTCACCATGATGTATGACCTCTAGACTGCTCAAAGCCCCCTTTCCTCTCCTCAGAAATAGTTGTGTGTAGTCTTTGGCTGGAAGCTTTAATGTCACCAGACTACTTGTGACTGAGCAGCATTAGTGTAATGGGGCAGTGCTCTTAGTCCAACCTTTGCCGTACCCTCAGCTACTCTGGAGAATTTCAGCTTGAAATCTGTCATTTCTCTGCAATCTCCAGCCTCTTGGTGTTTGGCCCAGCATCTCATGGACATAACAAAACATAACTGGTAGTTATTTCCAAACGCTTGGAAACTTTGCTCATTTCAAAGCATTAAGTATACTCCTGGATTGGAAGCTTGCTGTTAGGTTCTGACTTCTGCCTTTCAAGTTCTGTTTATGCCCCAGTGCACTTGGCAAGACTTAGAAGAAAACGCTCTCACCTCTAAGATGTCAGTGGTGGGGATTTCCATAGATTCTGTTCCTCCGTAGTACAAATACTGCATCAGCATCTGAAGTGGGAAGAAGGCCAGGCATGAAGCTGTTATCAGAGTCACAAGAGGCTGTGAATGGCTGAGCTCCCCTTCCCGAGCAGACGGGAATCCTGCGGTTTGCTGACTCTCGCCTCCACTGTTGTCTTTTTTCCTAGTGCTGCAAATCTGCTACTTTCTACCACGCTTTTCTGCCTTGGGCTCTGAAAGGGCCCTGTTAAAGGAATCCAGCCGGGGGTGACAGTGTTTGAGCAACACGAATACCCTTGTAAAACGGTTCCCTGGACCCCATTGTGTGAAGCCTTGCAGACTGCTCACATGCATTGCTGCCAGCTAGCTGCAGCCCTGACACTGCCATGCCATGTGTGACTTGGGGACCTCCCAGCCACTCGCTGCCCCTGCTGTGCTTCTCATCAGCTTCCAGCCCCCCCTGCCCCCATCAGGGCCAGAGGAAAAGGCCTAATTGTTTGCAGAGAGAGCAAGAGGCAGCTCCTGCTCTTTGATCTACATGTGCCCGCCCCCAGCACAACCAGTACTGTCTTGTCTAGGGAATGGTGAGATGTGGTGTTGGAGAGAGAAGTCATTCCAGTGTCCCAGGTGCTGTATAAGCAGGTATGGAGATGGCATGCTGTGCTTATAATTTCTAACAGGAGTGGCAGCAAAAGTGCGCTTCAGCTTTTAAAATTGTCTTATTTTTATAAGGGAATAATGGGGGAGCAAAGCTGCTTTCCAGCAGAGCCCTGAGCAGAGTGTAGATCTCTGGTGGCTCAGCATCCTCCATGTACCATAACTGAGATTGCTGTGGGATGCCAAAATCTCCTTAACTCATCTAATTTCATTTACCATCAAATTGTTTAATTCCGTGAAGTATTTAATTTAATCAGTTTTAATTATTTTTTATTGTGGCTCTCCCTAGTGAAGCAGAAGCGTATCTTTATAAACCTTTTGATATAAAAACATTAAGGAGGCTTGTTTCAATATACTCAATTATGTTTTCTTTTGGCAAAATTTGGATGTCCTCTATCAAGCACAAAACTTGTGTAGATGTTCTTATGGTAAACTTCATTCCCTCTGTGTGGGATGACAGTGCTGCTGACCAGCAACTTGGCTCTTTGCTTATAAAAAGAGAAAAAGGAAAAGTTGCAACCCTGTAGTGAGACAGTTGTACAACCTGTTCTGTACTTCCAGATTTAAAATGCAGATCTGGAAAGCTGGAATAACTCAACTATCACATTTCACTGACTTGTTTTTTTCCCCTTGGGTGTGCGTTAAGTAACCTTCTCTCCATCATGAATGAACCTCCTGTAGGTCCATTAAATACAGAAATGTCATGAAAGCAAAGTGCAATTCTCAATTTTGAGCCTTTCTTGAAAGGGACACCATTGATTTCTGATGATCTGATTTGAATTAATAGGAAGCCTGGCAGTCTACCTGCTCTAAGTAAGTTTACTTTTTGCTTAGCACAGCATGAAAATGGTGTTTTAAAAGTACAAAACTACTTTCAGTAGAAGACTACCTCTTCCTGCTTTATGGAGGAGTCAGCTGCCTAGTAAGAAAATAAGAATATTTTCTGGAGGTTTCTGTTCTAGCTGAAATGTTTTGACAAACGTCAGAATATTCCTGAAATACAAGTGTGTTGAAACGAACTTCATCCCTACTTGTACATTACCTATGGTATTAAGTCTTGGCTTAGTCTTAACTTCCAAGTATGTGAGAAGATGAAAAGAATAAAGAAAAGGTAGAATAAGTTACCTACCTTGAAAATATTGTATTTCATGTCACTGATTTCAACAGTCTTGCTGCCGTGGCTGTCATGTTCTGTTTTATTGGTCATCAGCGTCTTAAACCTGAGAATGGTTTTAACAGATTTCTCTATTAGTGCTTCACATACTCATTACCTATTGACGAACAGCCTAAGCCAAGGGGAAAATAAAGATCCTTCCTTATTCCTGTTCACAAGTTGAAATGTATCTTCCAATTTAATGACAATTAGTTTAGAACTTCAGGGACAACTTAACCTGGAAATTGCTTGGGCCTCATCCAGTCCCACCCGACTGTTGCTGTGCCAGTAACAGAGAAAGAAAGGGATAACTGCAAGTGTACCAGCTCGGGGTCAAATTTCCAGGAAATCTGGAGCAACTGTAGCTCTAGCTGGTGAACTCTGAGAGGGGGAGTGGGAAGGCAGTGAATGGCTGCACAGCTACACTCCAACTACTGCACAGGTTTTTAGGGATAATTACTGGTTAGTCTATGTCAATACAGCTCTGGGAATCTTCAACACTTACTAGGAGCGGCTAGAAAACTCATTTTTACTCTCCTCCTGTTCTTAAAGCTAGCAAAGATGATGAGGCTTGGTCCTGCAGACCTGAATTATGGTATTGAGACAGTAATTGAGAGCTAATCACAGAAATGTGGGACTGAAGGGTCAAACCTGCCTTTACCAACACTTAGTACTTAGCTGTGGAAAGTGACTCACCTGTTAGATGCAGTAACCAGCAGGACTTTGTGTGCATAAAACAGTTTTCCTTCTACTAAGAAAGTTACATCAGACATTTCTTTATTGTTTAGAAAGTGAGGATCTGATGGGGTGAGGAAAAAAAAAAGGGTGTGAATATTTTTTGAAACTGAAGATGCTTTTAAAAAAAAATCAAAGAAATAAAAATCACAAGAACTTCACTGTTTAGGTGAGCATCTTACCCAGGCGAGCTGGCAGTGTCTTTCGGATTTCAGGAATGCTGGGTATCGGGCTGCTGCCGTAGCAGTGGGTGAAGATGGATGCAAGCTGCTGATTGATGGAATCATTCTGTGAGGAGGACAGAACAGGTATCATCCACTGGCACTTTGTATTGAGCAGGTTTCAAACATGCTGTAACACTTCACTTGAGGCTTACAGCAACTGCACCCTACAAGGACAACCTTCAAACAGAGGGCAAGCACATGGTCTGAACAAGTACACTCTGACAGAATGCTCTCAGCAACTGTTTATTGCCCATCCTCTGTCAAGGGAAGAAGAGTCCATCAGCAAAAGCTCATCAACTTTCACTTGACGTGAAATGGCTTTCACTTCTATTGAAATGAATGTCTTTACTGTGAGGACTGCTTTGTGGGCTGTACATGGATTTTAGATAAATGCTATCAGGTCTATTTTCATACCATAACATGCATTAGGGACTTTGCATAGGCATTCACTTGTTCTTGCTGTGGGCTCTCTTGTATAACTGCAAAAAACAAACAGTTGACCTTGATACTGTTACAAAACTAATAATTACTTTGCTGGTTTTGAGGATATCAAACATGAGCTGCAACCCTTCATTAACCAGTTCTTCATTATAGTCCTCCTCTTTAATGGTGACAAATTCCCGCAGGAGGGTCTGCACGACTGAGTACCGAGACTGGTAGAAGGTTGTCCGCAGTGACTCGATCCACACGTGGAGCTTCCATGGGACCCCTGTAGCCACAGCAAAAAGGACAGTGAAAGGTGGTGATTTGCTGAAGTACCTGTGAGTAGATAGTTCACTGCTATTACTAACACTTAGCAGCGCTGTGTTAGACCTTTACATACATCCTAGCAGCAGATACATTTTTGTCTTGCTATTAAAGATGACTGAACTGGGTCATTGACAGTGACTTCTACAACCAGGTACCAGGACCAAAAGTTGAAACTTTCTGCTTATTGCTGACTAGAGATTCCTTGTGTATTTAGCTTCATGGTTAATCAGAACTATAAAATAAATTTGAACTGAGTTTGTAGGAATACCTAACTCTACTCAAACATGCTGTGAAGTCTTTTCTACTAGTTACCTGTAGGAGACATACAAGCTTCAAAGCTTCTCTTTCCTACCTTTAGATCAAATCTGTTCTTTCACCTTAAACCATTTAATCTCTGATGTTATCTTTGGTTTTGAGACCAGCCTCTTTAACACTGAATTTTAGGTGACTTTAGGATGAAAAGATATATGCCCCTTGTTTTTGATACTTGGGAACAGAATCCAGCCAAAAGCAAGGGACATACCAGATCGGTAAGAACTTAACAAAAATTTCTAGGAGCCTTAAACAGTTTTTTATTTAAATTAGGCAGCTGGTTCCTATAAGCTTGGGATAACCTTGCAGTTGGGTTTACAAATTCTTGTCTAAATAAAAGGAGCATAGGAAAAAGCTTTTCACGCCTTAAAGGTGCGTGATGCTTAAAACAACGAAAACACCTTACCAAGTGCCCTGAGCTCCATGGTGATGTCTACGTAGCCGTGCTCAGCACTGTAATACATGGCCTCCTGCAGTGCCTTCATTCGTGTTTTACACAGCCTGACTTGCCCCTCACTGGAGCTGCCTTGGCTGGAGGTGTCGCTCTCCACTCCCTCAGCCAAGATCTCCTCCAGCGAGAGGACATCGCCCTTCACTTGCTGGGGCTGCGTCAGGAGCTTGCGCAGAACATTCCTGAGGAAGAAGCAGCGACATCACTTATTAATAAATGAAATATCAACAGTTCACAGACAGGGCTATGGTGATTTGGGTACAAGGATCTGGCTTACTAAATAATAATTTCCTTCTCTAAGATAGACAGCTGGCAGAGATGGAGCAGCATTTAAAATACTTGTCTTTCCCCTGTCCCACATGCTAGAAATTGGTGCCCTGGTAGCAAGGGCAAAAAATTGAATATGTTCCTGTATATTAGTGGTACCAGGACAAGTTTCAGAGTGTTTCAGGGCAAACTGGATTTTATTGCAGTCTGTACTTTGGCAAAGAAGTGCTGAGTGTCGTAACAGCTTAAGCTCTGAAGTAAGATTTACTTTAACAGAGGGTGTCTGTTAGAACCCTTGCAGTTTCCCCAGGTGACCGTCTTCAAGCACTGTTATGTTGTTTTAGTCAGACTCACTTCCTGTATCAGTAAACAGTAACCATACAAAAACTACAGCTCTGCATCACTAAATCCAGGGAGAAGTTTTTCTGGTTTGGAATTTCACACAGCAGTTGCAAGAAAGAGGCTTTCTTGTTTTTGCCCAGGCGCTTTAGAAAGCTTGCATCGCTGCTGTCCCTGCAGACAGCTGGAGCCATCTGCAGCAGACGTTCCCCGTCCCAGCAAGCCCACTGGAGCACTCAGCCGTGAGCCGGAATTGCCACTAGCTGGTGCTCTCTTTGCACCCACACCACTCGGTGTGACTACGAAGCTTGTAGTTTGGGATCGAGCTGTCCTATTCAATTGGAGAATGAGCCTTGAATTTCACAGTTTGCATCGTTAGGTGCTGTAGAAGATTGGGGGGGGAACGGAACTGGAAACAGAACAGCGTGTGTGTAGTTTTGCACTATAAATAATTGTGTTAGACCATTCCAGCCTTGCAGCGCTTGGGCCTCATTCGAGCTTGGGATATTTTCCCTGGTGTATCCAGACGTGTGATGTACCTGGAGGTGCAGTTTTGGCACTTCCATAAAGCACAGCTGTGTTCAAGCAAGGTAGGTGCTATTTAACGTGCTACTGGAGGGGCCAGCTGCACTGCTGTGTGACCCTGCAGATAGCACTCAGCCCACCTACACAGGCGGTTTCAGGGCTGTTTTAATTGGCTTGTTCTGCTAACAATTTTTCTGGGAACAGAAGGATTTCTGGGTAAGTTTCTAAGTAATGTTATATTTCTAAATAGCAGGGTTGGAAAGCCTGATCTCTTGGTCAGCCATCCAAAAACCAGAGATGTAGTCAACCAAATTCTGCCAGATTATTTTTGCCACCTTAACATGATTATGTTTTTATTCATGATGTTCATGATTCCGTCTCAGAACATAAACCACTGCCTCATAACCTACCAACAGGAACTTAGTCTGCTCATGTATGGCCTAGAACCAGCTCCTACTCACTCTTAGTGCTGCAAGAGCCAGACCAGCAAGTGAGAGAATAAGTAAAAAGCAAAGGAAGATCTTTCTGTTGTATTTTGTGCTTTTGACAAAAATACAATCTCTTTTATCAAAAACTTCGAGTTGCTGAATAATGAATGTCTCGTACCATTTTTCTCAAAGGTATGTAACAGAGCAACTACCACTTTAAAGAATCTTTCAGTTCTCCAACATGCTCAAAAGGCACTACCTATGTCCAAATCAGATAGCCTGAGATAGCGTGTGGCACAAAAAAATGGTTGCTATCAGGAGAGTCTTAAGAGTTCTTGCAGTTCTTCTGAACTGCACTGCCAGGGATGTGGGTGTAAGTCACAGAGGAATACCTGCAGTGATAGCCTTGGGCAAAAAACCCTGTTCAGAGTATGAATGGAGCTTTACCTGTGCCCGTGTGCAGCCGAGTGACTGAAGCAATTCATATCTTCGTGAAGCGATGAAGACATACCATTGAGTTCCAGCATGCTCAGGAGTGGGTCAGCACCCCTGCTGAGCAACAGGCTGACCAGCTCGTAGTTCCCTGGGAAAAAATTGACAGAAACACGAGGATGATTCCATGTCTGTTACCTCTTTGAAACCATCTAACATAGCACTGGCAACACTGCACCAGAAACGTTTGTGCTATCAACTAAGGCTTTCAGAGGACCCTGCAAGCATGTGTTAGGCTTGGTAACATCTCAGAGAGAGAAATCATGTCACAAAGCACTTAGATTACCTAAAAGTGCACAACTAGCTAGAGGCAGAATGAAAAGAGAATTAAACTGGTCTGGCGCTTTCAACACACACCAGCAGAGACGTCTACAACCAGTTTAACCAGATGAGTCTATCGGTGCAGGCAACGTTCAGCCAGGCCTCCTTTCCTTTAGATGTAGAAGTGAGTGGTGGCAAGAGACCCAGCACAATGAGGGGAGGAGGCTGTTTTTTTTATTCCCTCAATAAAGTTTGGTGCAGAGCAAGCCAGAGACTCATCCTCATAAATATACAAAAAATGAAGCAGAAAGAAATGAAGGAAAATAAGTAAAAACAGTTGGACATGAAAAGTGTTGAAAACCGATGACGACTTTTAGGCTAGCACAGACTTGTTCACGGAATGCTGAACTCTTCTCAAGACAGGTAGAAGAAATGCAGATTTTTACTTGTATTTAATTAATTAATAAAACGAATTTCTTTTTACAGCAGTTATTTTTCCCCAGGCTGAATTTAAACTTGTTAATTTGTACATCTGGAAGTTATTTAGATCCAAGATGTGCCTAGACTAGACAGTAGCTGGTTAATGTTTCTTGACAGTGCCCTGTGCAAAGGAGTTGTTTCAGTCAGCTTGACTACAGAGGCTGCAGGCAGGAGGTAAGTGTTGGGACTAGTTGCAAAAGCAGACACTCATGTCGTGCCCATCAAGCTCTTGCCACATGACGACAGCTGTTGGTCGATGCCAACCAGACAGGATTCCTACTACTGGTTTAGAAATGAAAAAAAAAGCTGATTTTTTAGTATCCAGCTCTCTGTGCTCCCCATTTGATATCTTTACTGTACCCACAGTACCTTTGAGTACGAAGTGACTCCTAATGTGTTTTACAGGCACCAGCATGAAGTGGTTGTGGTTATTCTGAGGCTGCACTGAGCTTACCTGCGGCTGAAGCCAGCTGCAGCGGTGTCTCAGCATAGTTGTCTTCACCACTGTTAACAGCAGAGCCCTCCACATGGGCACCAGCATCCAAGAGCAGCTGCAAGAGACACATGAAAGACAAGGAGTTGAGAATAGAGCGCTTCAGAAAGACAAGACACAAGAGGCTGTGTGTGAGAAAGGAAACCCAGTAGATTCACAGTGAAGAGAGCAGGCACAAAAGTGGACCATCTCAAAGGCTAAAGCAAAGGAGCTATTACAGGGCAAACTTATCTTGCATTTCCTTGCTCAGCTTAGGGCTAAAGTCTCCACGTGAATGTCAAGTTAGAGTTTTCTTATTTTCTTTTGCTTTACTGTACTTTCAATAGTGAGTTTGTGCTGGAAAGGTGCTCAGCTGGCAGGTTGGAGAACATCACCTATTTGTATTTAGTTAGTTATTTAAATCTCCTTTATGAACATGGTTTTGCAATTGTAATTTCCCAACTCCAAGGTGCTCTGCAATCAGAGGAAGGAAGTCCATCTTATTTAGTTTCATGCTGTGCTCAGGAAACAAGGCTCCTCCAGGGAATTAGCCCTGCGGGCCAAACATACCTCTTGGAGCCTGCGTAAGGAGGCCCTGGCAGCTGTGGCGATTTGCCACTCACAGAACTGGCTTTCATTGAACTGAGCTGCTCACAAGGGAAATTACCCCTCTCCCAGATAAAGGGGAGAAGGCTACGAGATGATGGAGACCTTTCATGGCCAGACAGGGCTGGCAGGCAGCATCGGGGCACCCAGAGCACCGCTTGCAGGCGCAGACCGGTGGGTGCTGCCCCTCGCCCATGCGTGTGTCACCAGCAGAGGTTCCTCCACTGGGTATACGAGTCCAGCTGACTGTCCTAGAACATGGCCACGACTTAACAGTTTCAGGCATCCCCAGTTAGTGATGAGCACAAACAGCATATGCATTCACATTTTTATAATAAAACTTTTTGCAGACCACAACTACTGGTTCATTTCTTTCTTGAGATGACACCTATTCCATGGCAAGGACTGCAAGAATTAACTGAAAAGGCAATTCTATACACAGACTTTAGCAAAAACGGACATCTACTCTTTTAAAAATAGATGCCAAATGAAAAGAAAAAGTAATCTTTAGAAGTTTTAACCAAAAAAAAACCCCCAAACAAACATTGTGGCTACTGCAGTCCAACAGGAGCTGCGATATACTTGGCTACATCTCCTGGGAGAATCATGCTCTTACCTCCCACATAAATTAAGGCTGTCCAACCTTTGTAATACCAAAGGGGCTGCCCTGATGATTGCCAGGTAGAATTTAATCTTTGTAATTATTTACTGATGTACACAAACAAAAAATGAGTGTGTGCAGCCTCCATTTGCTTGCATCTCCCCCCCTCCCACCTTTGAGCAGAAGGTAAATTAAATTCACCAGCAATTGACTATCTGCTCTGATCAGTTTTGAATTCCTCTTGAAGTTGGGGTAGGATTTGCAGGACTCCACCCCATTTAGCTGCCCCTGCTTTCATTCCTCAGAAAAGGGAGTGGGGAGGATGTGAGAGGCTCAACTCTCACAGCAGCTGAAGTCCTGTTCATGCAATTCTCAAGGATCATAAAGGAAGTTACATATTATTTGCTACCATTAGAGCAGAAATCAGCATACACCTAATTTTTGCACATGTAAACATATAAACCAATTAACATGCAATGTCAGAAAGCATCCTGATCAAGCAGTCTACCTGTAACCACTCCACATGAAGCACTAGTTTATCTAAATACCAGAAAAATGATGGTGCAACATTGTTCTGGAAGTGGTAAGCCCTGGACCAATACCGAAACCAAAGAAAAATAAGGAAACGCTGTGTTTTGTTTATCAAGCCCTTGCAAAGAATTATGTCAGCAATTCACAGTTCTCCAAGAAAAGCACCAGTTGGCATTCTCCTAATTGTCAAAACATGCCATTTTTCACTGGCTTCCATTAAACGGCACGTGGAGCCCGTGATGGAGCCATGCCAGCGAGGGGTGCCCAGCACCCAGCTCACAGCGCTGCACCGCAGTCCCTCTGCGCCTCCTGGAAAGATTCCCGACCGCGAGATTTCCTCTGCTTACCTGAACAACAGAGATGTGCCCGTGTAACACAGCAAAGGTGAGAGCAGTCCAGTGCCGGCTGTCGGGATGGACTGAAGGGTATCGGGGAGAGGTACTGGGAACCTGGGAGAGCGGAACCAGGTAGTTATTCACCACTGCAGTCTGTGTCTGCCATAATCTTTAGGCTTGTACATAACTGGCTTTTTTCTTCGTAAGTGACAACCCTAGGGAATGGTAACTTATGCCATTTAGAGAACACTGCCAGCCAGCACAAGTCACTCTGTCCAGTCCCCTGGGCCTTTTTAATGGGCTTATTGGTTTCTCCTAGTGGCAGCTCTTTCAGAAGGGAGGCCCCTCTACCCCCACCATGCCTATTAGACTTGCCAATGCCAATCATAATTGGAGCCACTGAGCGCTCCGAGAGGTTTTGAAGGTTTTCTTCTCCCTCCCAAATCCCCGAAGCAGTGATTTCTGAAAGAAATGCCTTGCTCAGAAGCTTCCAGAAATGAAGCCTTCAGTTGCTAGGAGAGATTTCATAACTGCTCTTGTTAGTTTACAGATGAATAATTATGGGGAAAGGGTCCTCTATTACTCACCGGTATATCTAAATTTGCTCCAGCATCTATAAGCATTTGGACCATGGCTTCGTCTCCAGCAGCACAGGCATACATTAGTGGGGTCATACCCTTCAGGAAGAAGAAAAAAAGGAGTTTTCTTTCTATACCCATTAACAGTGAAACTGTCATGGACACAGTGAGTTTAGATCTCAACGCAGAGGGTGTGTGCGCACGTGTGCAAGTGTGCACGACACACGCAGACGTTCAAAACAGTTTTGGTTTCTACACAGTGTGGGCACAATGCACTAGAGTCTTGGAGAGTGATGTTGACAAAACATCAGGGGGCAAGAATACAAAAGGGATCACTGAAAATCCCAGCCGTGCATTGTCCACAGTTCTTGAGCTTTCTCAAGGCTGCCAAAAAAGAAATACCATTTCTTGGTTCATTTGTAGCCAGATGAACTGAAAGCAGAAAACAACACAGAAATACACAAGAAGAATTTATTTGGCAACTTATCCCCATTGCTAAAATCCTATTTGCCACAATATTTCAGCATTTCAGTCCCATAAATCTCTACCTCTCTACTTAACCAGCAAACCATGACAGCTCAGAGATGAATTATGAGAGAAATGAGCCTTACTTACCGTTCATTCCAGAAGTAGCCAAGGACAGAAAGGAAATGGCCTACTAAAATCCATTCACTACAGTTCCCCCCCCTTAATTATTGTGAGCATTTGAATTTTTCACAGGCAGCTCATTGTGTAATAACACAGCTTCATCTTTAGAGAGGGACATGAATCATAAAACAGAATTACATCTCACACTGAGGACTTCTGATCTTGTATCTGCAAAGGCATCTTTTCAGAACAGCCACAATTCCAACCTTCCTCCATTTCAGGCAGTTACATCTTTGCAAAGATGTTCTGAGTTTGGTTTCTGGGGGACTTGGGAGGCTCCATTCTTGTTATAGACAAGGAAACATCACTGAGAGTTCAAAACTCAGGTCTGCAGGTACTTTTTAATTATTATTTATAGTATCAGTTTTGCATTCCCTGCTTGTTCCTCAGTATGCAAAATATGAAGAGATTGTTTTCCTAAACACCTCAAACCCTGTGAAACCAGAGTGCTGCTTGGTCCCCACTAGAAGTGAATACAGGGTCCTGCTCAAAACTCAAGTTTCTGAAGATATGTTCTGAGTTGTCTTCCTCTCTCTAAAAACATCTCAACACGTGTACATGTAGAAGCGGGTCTGAACACACCCCTCAGCACTGGACATTCCCACATCCTGGGAATGGTGAAAATCTGAACCTGGATCTAGAGACTATGCACTGAATTAGTCCAACAGTTCTGTCTACTGTAGGATTTGCAACAGAACTTTTGCTGTACTTGCGAGGTGAGAGATGGTCACGCTGGTCTGCAATGCCTGAGAGGTGCCTGCCTACTGTGCAGTGTGTTAAGAAGACTCACCGTGACCAAAAGAAATGCAGATACATGAACTGAGCTTATCAGATGCCAGTGTTTAATGTTCTATCCTATGACAGGACAGAGACCTGCTTTCTGTTGCCACGCCTAAGTCAGCTTTCCCAAGTCTGAGTACATTGGCTTTGACTTATTCCTTCACAGAAAGGGCACAACAAGCTAGCTGCAAAGTTCAGATTTGGTTTCATTTTGCAGCTATGGCAGAGTCACTGCTAGAGTGACCGTCTGTGACTGGTAGCACAGTGGCACACCCTTGCTTAGCTGCAGAGATGAGTTGCTTCAGAATCACTGAAGTGGGGAATTTCAGAGCAGCAGTGTCTCCAGAGGACGCCTGTCTTGCCCTCCTCGATCAATGCCAAAACCCTGAGACGTGGGAGCATTCTGCGAAGAAGACAGAGCCGCCAGCGTGCTACGATCCCCCTGCTCACAGTAGGAGTGGGTAGAGGATGGCCTCAACAGGATGACAATGAGATCATAAATAAGTGACAGCAGAAACTCCTCATACTTTCCAATGAGTTTCCTACAGGGTATAAAAAGCCAAACAGCTCCCAGTTTGCTGGCTGAAGAGAGGTAAAAAATATCCTCCAGTGATGGCACCAGTGTCTTTGGTGGTGGGATGGAGAGGTTCACAATGCAAAATAAATCTGCTTTGAGACAACAAAAGGCCTCAGGGCTACGTAAAATGGAATTGCAAAAAGTTATGAAAAAAACCAGGAAGTGGCAGACGATCATAATATAAATCTGCGCCCTTTGCCACTTTAATAAAGTTAATATCAAGGGCACCTGTGATGTGATACCCCACTTCTGTGACCACAAAGCTCCTTGTATTGGATATGTAAACAAGGCAACTACATTCCTAGATATAAGCTTGTGCAGGAGTTGTTTCTGCTCCTATTTGTGTACACATTCACACTTCCTTTAAAACTGCACAATGGTGGGCAGTACCATGGAAGATGTGCCAGTTTCACAATTTGGCCTGAAATGCTACTGCAGTAAAATGCTGTCTGTGAGAAAACCTCTCTACTTGAATGTAAATCCTTCCTACTGCTAAATTTCCTGTTGTTTCTAAGACATGACAGCTCATTCTCATTGCTGTGACAGCTATAATGAGTGTTTATTTGGGAGAGATTTTTTTTTTAAATTAAAAGCTAATTCAATGCACTGAATGATGCCCTAGAGAACAGATTCTGCTGTTACTTGATGAGACTGACAGCACAAGCAGAAGCAGCTGAAGGCTCCCCAGACCACCAAATCCCCGTGGTTCAATGTAGTTGAGCAGTGAACAGGTAAAATTGAAAAAAAAAAATCAATACATCAGCATGATGGACTTTCAACAAAGCTAATAGCAACTGAAACCAGTGCTGCAAGGGTTCTTGGTGTGGTTTCTCATATGCCAGGCTGTACTGAGGACACAGAACTCGCTTCACGCCTGAAAGCCATCAGACAGTAACACCTTTTGGTCACTCATCACTGACCCAGACTGGATCTGGGCTGTTGAACCAGAAGAGAGTGTCACTGGTAAAAACCACTTTGTTTTGACATTGTCTTAGCATTTAAGACAGCATCAGACTTTCCAATCGCAGCCAGCATATTAACCTATCTTCTGTCAGCGTCTGAGACAGACCATCCAAGCAACAGACCTACATTCCAGCTGATAAAGAAACAATTCACTCTAGGCTTTGACTGGCTTTTTGGGGTTGTTGTGTTGGGTTTTTTTTAAGGGATACATCTGCAGACTAAAACAAAAGCTAGAATTAGAAAAGGCTCGGAGAGGCAACTAACACGATCTCATGTACTGAGTTGCCTCATGGAATTTGTTCATGCAAAGAAATGTTTGTGTGTCTGGTTATATGGCATACCTGATCATCCATGGTGTTAACCCCGTCAGGTCCCAGTGAATCGATAGCTTGGTTGATCAGATCTGTCCTTCCACAGTTCAGCATTCGGAAACCCAGATCCTGCTGGAATTTTTCAGTAGCAGCCTTCGCATCCAGTCTCCGGAAGGAACTAAAGCAGCATTCAGGCCTGTGAAGAACAAGAAGATTTCTGAATTTTTTTTTCTTTTTTTTTAATCCCAGTCTCCTAAGAAATCAGGCTAATGAATTTCCATGGTTTTACCTACTGCATACCTTCCCCACTGTGTAACAATTTCTGAAAAATCTGGCTCGTACTGGAGATGGAAGGTTTAGTTCTTAGAGAAAGACAGGATGGTCATGTAAACACTGAAAGAACTTTCAAAAGACAGTGTCCAAGTAGAGGAACTTCACTGGTGCCTTCCTCCAAGGGAAAGGCAGAAAGAAATCTGCATTCCTTGCCAAAAAGGGGATTTTCTGCCCCAGCCCCTCACTACAAGGGTAGCTCCGGATCAGGCACTGCTGCTGCTACATCTTATCCAGCAAAACGGGAAGGGGATGCTGGAATATGCCCAAACTATAGCAGGTACCGAGCAACCGGGGTTACTTGCAGCAGCGAGGTTATTGTGGTGGGACCGGTGTCACGGGCTGCAAACCTGCAGCAAAGAGGTTTCCTTAGTTCCGCTTCTCACATAAAAATCCCACCAAACCCACATGCTTTAAATAATGAGCTCTGTATATTTTGGATATATTTCTATTTTACTGATTGCTATGGGGCCAGTCCATCAGATGTACACAAAAACATACTGCAAGGAGGAGAAAGAGGTGGAGAGAAAGTGTATATAATAAAATACCAGAGTAGTTCTTGTCTGTCTACCAGCCTAGCTATTATTTTGAAATAAAAGACATTTCTGAAAGAAGATAATGATCCTTATTCTTTTCTGGAAAAGAATTTTTTTAAATAGGAAATAAAAGTCAAATTTAGGTAGTGGAACATTCTCAACAATTTTTCCAACACCTCAATAAAAGGAAGTATGTTAACATTTCTATGAGGTTCTATTAAATCCTTAGATGACTATCAAATGACCTTTATCTCATTTGGAAGGAGCCCAAGGATTACTGTAAATCCTCTGGTTTTCTGCTCAGAGACTTCTGAATTCCAAGCCTGGAAGTGTATCTCCTCCACTCAAGAAACATGGCCAAATTGGAGGTGTTTCCTATCTCAGCTGGGCATTGACACCATCAGCCCTTTGATGTTATTTCGGGGTGAATGCCTTCTCTACTGGTTGTCTGGTTTTCAGCACGGGCTCTTGTGCAAACTCTCAGTGAGTGAGATATCGGCCTGCCAAGTTCCTTTGAAAAATGAGACTCTTTCAGCAAGGCTAACCTCTTCTGGAAACTCTGTATGGCCTGCCAGATAAGCAAAACACTCATCACTTCACATACAAGACTCAAGATGAATCTTATTCACCTTTTAATTCAGCTGGCCATTTTTTAATGTGTCTGAACTTGCACTGATGGTGGATGACAAAGGGCGAGCAGATGTTATGAACAGTACATTGAGTTAAAGACCCCTGCACAGCCTGCTGACCGGTCACATTGTGGAGGGGAAACCAGCATCTCAGCCCAGCTGCTTTCAGAGAGAAACTACATCAGGGTACAATTTGGGGAACCATCAGCAGGGAAGCAAAGAGACAGCCCTGTGACCACTAGCTCCTCAGAGTTACATCTGCCAATAAAATATGTCTCTGAGGCAGCTGAGAACAAAGACTTCATCAGAAAACAAGCAGCACCCAGAGACTAGATAAGGACACATACAGTACAGAGCACAAGAGGACAGTAAGGCAAAAGGCTTAATGCTGGATATATATAAATCTGAGAGCTATGATTGTCAATTAATAACCTTATTCTACTAAAGCAACTGGTACAGTATCATGATGCTACAATATTATGTAGAATATGATGCAATGACTTTATACAATAATAATGAGAAGAAGAAGAATCCGATGAAAAAAGGGAAATAAAATGACATCACTTGAAATCCAGTGAACCTCAGCAAATAGAAGCTTTTGAAGGGATGGCACCTGTCATTGCACATTGTTTCTGTTTTGCTAATGGGCAAGATTCCCCCCAGTGCTATTTACAGGCCCTGCTGGAGCAAGGGTGGTGGGAGGACAATTCACCAATAAGCCCTGCAGAGGGAACAGCAAAACACAGCAGTTTCACAGAGCTGTCAAGAGAGACCCGGCAAAAAGGTGGGCTGTAGTTCTTGGTGCAGAGCTGTCAAGAAGCCAGCTCAGGTGCCAGAATTTGAAGTTATAATTTGTGAACTTTACTCCTGGGGGACCTGCAGGCTCAGCCCATGCAAGAGTTACTGTACGTTTGCTGTTCTGTAGCAGGAGTTTGACAGCGTGCTCTGTCTACGATAGTCGCAAAGTAGCTTTTTCTTTTAGTGTGTGATAAAAGTTAGAGGATCTTACCAGAGCCAGGGGAAAAGAGCTCACACACGCACAACTGCTGTGCAGCAGCTGTAAACACAGCAGGTTTGCCATGTGTGAGTTGTTATCCTGTGGAGAAGAGAGGCAAACTCTTGCACGCTTCCTAGGGTAAAGTTTGTGATCCTGCATTGCCCAGATAGCAGCTCCCACGTATGCCCAGCTGTGCCCAGGGGATAAACTGAAGAACTGAAGGTGGACCAAGAGACATCAGGGACTGAGAGACATCGAGAAGACAGAGCCAAGAGAATGGGATAGGGCTTGAGGTCCCAGTTCGGGAAGTGGTAGCTTGAAGAGGGAGCAGGAGCCTGGTATGCTCTTTGGATTTCATAAGCAGTAACTATGACTACTGTAAGTACTGGTAGTGAGTGATTTAAGCTTGGTCTGCAGTGAGGAAAAAATTTTAAAAGCAGTACGTGATAGTAACTTAATATTAAAATCCCAACATTTATATTTAAGTAGGTGGAAAAGAGAGAGAGTTCTCTGCAATCTAGCATTTCCCCACTTATATCATCATTTAACCAGTATCAGGCAAGTACTGAAGATGTTCACAAACTGTCTGGCAAACATAAACTGAAAGCATCGTATGAGAAGTCTTCATCCACTAAAACAACAACAGTTGTTGTGGAAGACTGTACTGTCTAAGCAGTCTGTGTCAAAGAATAGATATTAGAGGTCTGAATTTCAGGTTATACTAATTATACTTTGTTCTTCTGCAAAACTTCTCTTTCGGGGATTTCAACATACCTACCTGATGCATCACCACTGCAAGTATGACTTAGCCTGTGCATCATCAGTTGCAATTTGCCTACGGTCACACAGCAAGCCAGGGATAAATTTGGCTTCAGTTCCAAGACTGCCTTTTCCCCTAAATGTGCTGTAATGGCTAGATACAAATGGCTGCTTTGAAGGATCATATAATGGGCACTTGAAATGAGGCACTGCTCTCCTCATGTTTTATTTTTTTTCTGTTAGTTTAAATCTTCCATACAGCAAAGAAACAATGCTCTTTCTTTCATGCCATACATCACAGAACATCCTTAGACCTCTGAAAATAACAGTGAGGCAAGACAGTTCAGAACAAAGACCTGATCAAGCTTAACTTTGATTTTTGTCCTCCACTACAAAGACGACATGTGCTACTTTAAAGCAGAGGCAGTTTCACCGGCAGGGGATGCACACTGGCTTCATGTCTATGGAGGAATAGTTTGGTGAGGTAAAAGGTGTGAAAGGATCTTAATTTTCTTACAGAATTGCCACTCTTTCTGTAGTAACAACAAACCGGATAAAAGCTTCGAACGTTGGGCCAGTACTGCTCACCCTTAACAACCCAGCAACTGAATTATCCTATGCCTGACTATCCCACATAGTGTGGCTGAGACCCTTTATATCTACTTTTATATCACTTTTATTTATTGCTTACATTATTTTGGACCTCCTGGGTTTCTGTCGAGACCTTCAGTTCATAGCTGTGTCATTAAGGCTTCAGTTTGAAGTTAATGAGATGAACCCCATTTTCACAAAGGCTGTTTCCTTTTATCTCACATTAGCAGCAAAATTAGACACCCAAAGCCCTACCCTCGTTTTTTTTGTTTGGTTTTATTTTAAGATATATCATCTATAAAGTAAGGAACCACCTGTGTTTTGTATGTTAATGTGCACAAAAAAGCCAGTGCAGAGATAGGGTGAGATGCCTTTGAAGCAGAAGGTTAGGGTTCAGTTTTAAAATTAAAAAACCTTTCTAAAGGAGAGAATGAAAGAAAAACCATGATACTGACTGGAAGTGATTAGATTAGTTTCCTCCAGTATTGTTCATCAAAGAACATGAAACGTTTCGGCAAGCATTAGGCACATATGTAAATTAGTTTGTCTCACATTAAGTTGCCTACACTAGCACCTACCAGCCACACGTAAGCCAGAGCAGCATGTGCTTTAATTGACACAAAGCACAAGTACACTGGCAGAGAAAAGGGAAGAGAAAAGTGTTCCAGGACTAAGCATACAACGCTGCTTTGTGGACGCCAAGTCCAAGCTCAGCGGCCCCCTTACAGTCTGAAGCTAAGGAGTTGAAATAATTGCCAGAGATCACCTGTTTAGCTTCCCTTTTAAAAAGACTGGCAGCACTCTCAGCTGGTTGGGGACCACTTCTCAGGAGAAAATCAGGGATAAGATGAGGAGTCAGCGCAGCCAACACAACATTCGGTCATCTCATTGCACCACCATACTCACCAGCTAATTTAGCTTCACGTTACATTTTGTGGGTAATAAGTCCTACCTTCCAATTCACAAATGGGGAGACAAAGGTGTAGCAAACCAAGAGCCTTTTTGGCTGCCAGAAGGAAAAGGTAAAAAGCAACAAACACATATGCAGGACTCCTGATTAAAAGCCTCTTGCTGCTTTCATTATTCATGAAAAAGAATTCTAAGAGTTAATGGTGTATTTTTAGCTTTTCAGGTGATCATTTCATCGCTTAAGAGCATGATAAAAGTATTATTTATTGTTATTAATGTGTCCCGCCCAGTCATTTAACCCAAAGTTACATAGAAGACAAAATTCACTCAAGAAATAAGAATATACTTTGTACTAAAGTTCCAGATGTAACACTGATATCAAAACCAGTGCTAATGACAGCAACTTAAAGGACTACAAAGCCGAATAAAATACCTATGACATGCTAATGAACCAAACTGATTATAAATCCCTGGTTAATATATATGTGAGAGGAAAAATTTAAAAGGTACTGATACTTTTCATCATGCTGTCTCAAAAAGCAAAGAATAATCTTGTAAATGAGATTAAGACATAAAAATCCCAAATACTTGTGTATCAGTCCTTCTCTGTCTCATTCTTCCTCCATAACTTTTGCCAAGACAAAGTCTGTCCAGCCCACCTGCAGTGTCTGGCCAAAGTTTTGTTATCTCTTGGAGTACCAAAAGGTTAAACACGTATCACCTGTATAGTAGTTTGTGATCTGGCTCCCATGAAATATGGTAAAAATAATATTGTGAGAAGTTATGATTACTTTAGCTGCTTCTAAACTTTAACCACCTACTTCAGCTGCCGGGGCTCGCAGTCCAGTCCAGGTAAGAGCAGTCTGGCCGTCTGCCTGATATCGTCACTGTCCACAGTTAAGCTGCGCCGGTGCTCAGCGTAGGTGATGGCCACTCTCATCCACTCCATCAGCGGCGGCAGAAGCATGAAGGGTCTGGGCAAACAAGGAAAAATAGTCCATAATTGTTAACATCGGCCTGCTATCTTGTACCAAGATGCAAAAGCACACTTCCATCGCGTCCTGGGCGTGCTTGTGGGAGGCTGGCACCGATAAAAGCCACCTGTGGAGACCTACTCTGTCCCTGTGCTCAGCAAGACTGGCAGGTCCCAGCAGGTGGAAGGAACAGGAACTACTCAGCCTTGGTTATCTGAACTGCTTCTTACCCAAAATGGGGTCATGCCAGGACATGCTGGTTTCGTGCAATACATTTTACCCTGTGGGAAACAGGGCCAGACTGGATATAAGGGACCTACTTCTCTATAATTAGCTATAGGTCAGGCCCCCCCTAGCTCAGGTGGGCAATGCTTTGTTTTGGAACAGAAGGGCTCGAATCTCAGGGGTGCAGCTGATATAATAATTGTGTCTGTCCTAAATAATCCGCATGTACAGGCTGCTTCACTGCACCCTTAGGAACACTTAAAATTATTTTGATTACTTGAAACTTCAATTCAACCAGGTTAATTCAGTGTCAGTTCCATTGATCTTTACATTAATTAGCACTATCCAATGGCTTTTCACATCCTACAGTTCTTACATGCAGAGCTCATTTTTGCACAACTGCTCCTCTGGATTGCAGTAGAACTGCAATCAGAACTGATGCAGCCGTGTTTTAATGTGAACTGTCTTGCTAGGCAGGAATGAGTAGAACCAGAAAGATAACAACTAACATGGAGACATCTCTGTGCAAGAATAAATGTATAACATTACTTAAATTATAAGCAATCTGTGGAAAAGCAATCTATCCATTTGTAATTTGTACAGCATCCAACACTGAGGTTTTGCTCTCTACGAAGGGTTGCAAGGCAATAAAGGAATATAAATAAGGTAATAACAAGAGCAACAACAGCCAATTTGGACTAGCTTATGAAGAGGCCCCCTTTAGTCCTGCTATAAGAATGAATACAGTACTGAGATTACACAATAAAATATGGGCACCATAATACTCTCATACACAACATATCTCACCTATCCTCTCAATATCCAGCCAGACTGATCTATTGTTTGCTTGGCAGTATTTTTCCCCAGAGATACCTGCCACCCTGGTGGAAGGCTCTGAACTGCCAACTGCAATTGAAAACACCTTCCCCATCTCCAGTAATGAATTTATTAATGCTGGAAAAAAATCCCTTTTCATTTAAGCATTCAAAAGAAAATAACTGAGGGGAGAAGCTACCAATTCCTTTAAAAAGTTCAGAGAAAGAGAGATACATATCAGAAAATATGAAATTATCTTGGCATTAATGAAAGCAGCTGAACTCATGAAAGGCATTTTCAAAGCTGTGCATGTATGTGTGTGCGCACATATGCGAGCACAGTAAGAGTAAGCAGCACCAATCCCGTTAGAAGCCGTTTATCAATAATGGGATTTGCAAGCAGAACTCCCTTTGTACGACTGTGAACATCCTTGAGGGTGTTTTTCCCACTCTGTAAAATATGTGCCATCTGTTTCCATTTTCCTGGTTGCAAGGTATGCTCTAAAACGCTACCATTATCTCTTCACAAACACGTGCACTGCTTTTCCCTCTGCTCCTTCTCTTCTTCTGAGTAGCAAAGCAGCATCTACAAAATCAGGGGTCCTGATCCAGGTCACATGGATTGCCAATGTAAGGGTGTTTTTAACAAGACATCTGCTTACTGCTTTTACCAGTTTACTTCTACATCAAACAACCAAGTTTTCAGGGCTGCTACATTCATCACTTTGAAAATTACCCAGTAGCTCACCAGCTGAAAGACTTTCTGGAAGTCCAGCTTGAATCCCCCAGCCTCATCTAGGTGTTCCTGCTCCAGCAGGGGGATTGGACTAGATGATCTTTTGAGGTCCCTTCCAACCCCTAACGTTCTGGGATTCTGTGATTCTGTGTTTAGGCTTTCTAACAGGTCCCAGACACATGGGATGGGATGAATTCCTCCAGCACAGCCAATTCAAGGTTGACTGATTTCCCTAAGGGAAGAGCAGCCATCATCAACAGGCATTTGGGAGATGCCTTTCAGCAATCTGTTCCAGAGAACTTCAACCCTTATCTGGGTGCAACAGAGGCACTTATACCTTTTAAATTCAGGCACTTAAGGGAGGAGCCTAAATTAACTACCTAGACCTTCTATGTACTCAGCAGATTCTCTAGTATAGGATTCAAAATTCCCGAGATGTGGGGAGGACAGAGAGGTAGGGTAGGTGGGCTAAAAGCACCAGAATTAAATACTCAAAGTTAGATGGAGTGAACACCTCAGGAGCAATGGAAAAACTCATCTTACAAGTGATTATATCTACCACTTTTTGAGGCAGATAAGCTATTTAGGCCACATCACAGCTTCCCTGATGCTTTCGTGCTGGGAACTCTGCTGAGTCCATCCAGCACAGTCCTGAGCATCTTCTCAGGTACCAAACCTTGGTGACAGTTACACATGGCACTGGACATCAGGAGACTGGTTAGCCAACAGAAAAATCACATCAAGTCTGCACCAGAAATAGCACGTATCATGGAGAAATTTCCATTCTCTGAAAAATTCACGTGTGCCAGGGTTATAAATGGCTTTTATGCACAAGCAGACCTTGAATGTGGAAAACCTGGTTTGGGAGGAATGGGAAGGAGAGAGATTTTGTGGTTGTTTATTTTTTTATTCTCAACAGATTTTTCCAAAGGCTTTAAACCTCACAGCTTGACAGACTACCTAGCTACCCTGTGCCTGAAGGACAGCAGACTTTGGACTGCAAAATGAAATGTCAGAATGTTTTCCTCATACCGTATCCTAATTTGTCCCAACTCCATCACTCGCATTGCTGTGCGAGTTGGAGAAATCATTATTCCATCAGGAGTGACTATAATGACTTCAATTTCTGTTTTGCTGTAAAAGCTTTACTTCTCTTGAAAATTTCTAGCTTGAGGATGGGCTTTCTATTCTTCCTCTGCTGCCCCGAGACACACACACTTCTTTTGCCCAACTATTTCCATTCTTCATACTGTCCACATGGGAGTGCTCACAGGAGCAGCTCCATTTTACTCTGCTCACTGACACTCCATCAGATAAGCAGTATTATCGCATGACCTGGGCAGAAAGGAAGAGATATAGTTCAACGGAATGAAATGCCAACATTGGGTCGCAGTGCACTAAGAAAATAAATGCAATTATTCATTTTCTAGAAAAGAAATGCAATTATCAACCCTGTGGCTCTTAACCTGGGCGTCTGTCTGCCTCCAGGGAAACACTGATCATTTCACAGTCTGAAAAACACTGGAGGAGGGGAAGGGGAGAAACCTTCATGGAAAATTAACTGGGAGATGCTGCAAGCTAAAGAATTAATTTATGTCTATGAATTTCTGTCTGTGCCATATTCTGTACCGTGCATTTTCCTCTGGTCTTTCTGACATTTAGAAGCATTTGGCAGCTCATTAAATTCTGCACGTGAAGTGATCCAGCCCCGGGAAACTGTCATACTCACAGCAGTAGTTAACTAGGGACACACAGTCTGATTTCTGTGGAGAAGAATGCCACCATTGCTTTGTTTAATTTCTTGCCATGAAGTCATCTGCGAGTGATGCCACATGTGAATTGGGGAAGTACACAGCAGTGGGAAGGAAAAGGGACACCGCTCATCTACTATACACCTCGTAAAGAATCGCAGTAATGTCTGATATGGTCATGTGCTGTCAGCATTTTATGTACTATGCTCATTTGATTAGAATGGCACAGGACATGACTGGCATGTGGAGGTCATGTGCAGCAGTCCTTGAGAAGATGCTGTGGGATCACAGACTTGCAGTGTTAACACTTGCATCACAAAGAAACTAGTCCCCAAAGCGGGCTCTTCTGAGGATTTTTATCAGCCCTGGGACTAAGACGTTTTTGGCAGAGGGAAGTTCATTCTATGCAAAAGAGGAAAGACCTCCACAGGAGACAGAAAATTATGTCATCCCTCCTCTGCATTGAGTGCTAGGACAACACACTTGGAGCTTGACTTCACAGGTGAGGAACACCTGCTATCTCAGGTGAAAACAGTCGGTCATCCCAGAAGAAACAGCCAGGCTATCAAATTCCTCCCTCCTGCCTGGGTCCAGTGAGAAGATTGCTGGCGAAAGAAGGAGAGTGGCAAGGAGCAGACATTTTGCCTGCACTGACCTCCCTTCTCCTCCTGTGCTTTTTTTGCTACAGCAAAACAAAGAGTGAGCCAACAGTGACAGCAACATCAAGAAAGAAAAACTCTGTTCTTCTAAACAAGAATCTCTTTCTTCTAAAGCAGGAAAGAAAATACTGTCCTAATGGAAGCCAGTTAAAATGGCAAAATTTGTCTCCCTCTTGGCAGCCTGAGCTGGTCCTGAGACACACATGGCACAGTCTCCCATCCAGCCTCTTCCATATTCTGCTCAATGCTTTGCCTGAACAAGCTTTCCCTTCCTCTCATCCACTAACACTTTAAACACATACAAACCTCAGCGTTGAAACCATGTGTTAATATCAGAATACTTATGGTCAGAGCAGGGTATGCCATGATAACTCCCCCATATTTGATTTACTGAAACTATACAGCGGCTACACGCAGAGAAGAATGCCAAATCTTTAGAGACCATTGGATTTTTTTGCTAAGGATTGAAAAAAAGAAGAAGGGCTTGCAGTGCAGTGCAGTGTGCTAATGTTAGTGTTTAATGCTGGAACCAAACTCCATGGTTCAGTCCCATTTTACCCTAAAATGACAGATCTCAAAGTCACTAACAAAATGAATTAAGAACAGTTATAAAAAGCTATAATTCAGTCTCACTTGTCCTTCCTTTTTTTTTTCTTTGTAAGGAATGAGCTTAAAATAATTATACACATGTGCACACAGAGAAGGGAGTAATGTGACAAGCAGAGATGCTGGGAGTGATTGCTGACTAAGCCAAACAGGCTTTTTCACAGCTTTTCAAAGCTTCCAGTTAGGGGTCCTGGGAGACCCAGATACA